GTGTCTAGTAAAGCGACCAAAACGCTGGCTTGCATCCATAGATGCTTCTCAAGCAAATCCCAGGACATCATTTTCCCCTTGTACTCGGCCTTGGTGAAGCCGCAGCTGGAGTACTGTGTCTAGTTTTGGGCCTCACAATTCAAAAAGGATATGGAGAAGCTTGAGAGAGTCCAAAGAGCCATGCGCATGATCAGAGGTCAGAAAAACACTTACGAAAACAGGCTGAGAGCTATGGGGCTCTTTAGCCTGGAAAAGCGCAGGCTCAGGGGTGATCTGATGGCCACCTATAAGTTTATCAGGGGTGACCACCAGCATCTGGGGGAATGTTTGTTCACTAGAGCACCGCAAGGGATGACGAGGTCGAACAGTTATAAACTACTGCAAGACCATTTCAGGCTGCACATAAGGAAGAATTTCTTTACTGTCCGAGCCCCCAAGGTCTGGAATAGCCTGCCATCGGAGGTGGTTCAAGCACCTACATTGAACAGCTTCAAGAGAAAATTGGATGCTTATCTTTCTGGGATCCTTTGACCCCAGCTGACTTCCTGCCCTTTGGGCGGGAGGCTGTACTTGATGATCTTCTGAAGTCCCTTCCAGTCCTAATGTCTATGAAATCTATGAACCCGGCAGTGGACCCCATTGAGCCAGCTTGAGTTTGTGTGGCACCTAGGCCTTTATGCTTAAATCTATCCCTCTTGAGTCCTGTTGATTCCACTAACAGTTTGCATTTGCAAGCCAACAACAAGAGCTAAAGAGCTAAATTATCAGTTCCTTTTTCCCTAAAAGCACAAACTGTATACTGCCATAAGTACATAGATCAGTGTTTTGTTCTGAACCTGGAATTATAGTTCTTTTTTAATTTATTTGAACCCTGCATGGTTTTCTGTCACATGTTTAGTCATTTTTCAGCAAGACAATACAATATACCCTGTGGGGCTCCAAGATGCAAATCTGTTTATCTGACAGTAGCTGCCTGCCATTCAAGGCAGATGCAAGTTGCATACAGTTCTATGACCTATAAAAATGTCAAGCCTGAAACCCCAAACCGACATGAAATTCATTTTAAGAAACAAAACCCAAACCTTTATACTCTGTGGCCACTGAATACTCTTTGTAACTTTTTCATGAGTAAGAATATTAAACTGCAATGTGTAGCCAAATTCTAATTCTGATACAGTATTTTTTTTTCTTAATTCCACTGAAGTTTTTTTTTTGTTTTGTTTTACAGTTATTGACACTTTTTGCTCTACATTCTATGTTTTCTGCTGGGGAGTTCTCCTTATTTATATAGGTATACTTTGTACGA